GTAGCGCACGCCTGTAATTCCAGTTACTTGGAAGGCTGAGGCAGAAGGATCGCCGGAGCCCAGCAGAAAGAGGCTGCGGTGGCCAGGAGCGGCCACTGCACTCCAGTCTGGGCAACAGAGTGAGACTCCAACTCAAAAAAAATAAATAAATAAAATAAAATAAAATCATGCTTGCACAAAAAAATGATAAGGTTGGGTGCAATGGCTCACACTGTAAGCCCAGCACATTGGGCAGCCAATGCAGGAGGATTGCTTGAGGTCAGGAGTTGGAGATCAGCCTGGGCAACATAGTGAGACCATGTGTCTTTTTTTTTTTTTTTTGAGTTAGAGTCTCACTCTGTCACCCAGATCGGAGTGCAGTGGCTGCTCCCGGCCACCGCAGCCTCGACCTGCTGGGCTCTGGCGATCCTTCTGCCTCAGCCTTCCGAGTAGCTGGAAGTACAGGCGTGCGCTACACACCTGGCTCATTTTGGTATATTGTAGAGATGAGGTCTCGCCAAGTTGCCCAGGCGGGTCTCGAACCTGCGGGCTCAGGCAATCCACTCACCTCAGCCTCCCAAAGGCGTGGGATTACAGGCTGAGCCACCGAACCCAGCTGACCGTGTGTCTTAAAAAAATAATAATTTGGGTGTAGTGGTGCATGCCTGTAGTCCCAGCTACTAGGGAGGCTGAGGTGGGAAGATTGCTTGAACCCAAGACCTCAAGGTTACAATAAGCTATGATCATGCCACTCCACTCCAGCCTGGGCAACAGAGTGAGACCCTATTAGTTTGATTTAGCCATTTCACAATGTATACATAACTCAGCAAAACATGTACATAACAGACACATATGACAAAAATTGACAAATTTTTATTTGTCAATTAAAATCATGCCTGCATGATCTAGAGAACCTCATATTAAAAATTAACAGTCCCAGCCAGGCTCGGTGGCTCAGCCTGTAATCCCATGCCTTTGGGAGGCTGAGGCGAGTGGATTGAGCCCGCGGGTTCGAGACCCGCCTGGGCAACTTGGCGAGACCTCATCTCTACAATAAATCAAAAATCAGCCGGGTGTGGTAGTGCATGCCTGTAATTCCAGCTACTTGGAAGGCTGAGGTGGAAGGAAAGCCGGAGCCCCAGCAGGTTGAGGCTGCAGTGGCCGGGAACGGCCACTGCACTGCAATCTGGGCAACAGAGTGAGACTCCAACTCAAAAAAAAAAAAATTAACAGTCTCTACACCTGACAAAAGCAAATGGTGGTTCTTTTCTGGAAAAATATAAATTAACCCTCAAACCAGCTCTGGTAATTAATAAGGTAATGATCACAAGCTGACAATAAAATCAGATCTTTCTACTTCTAGTTAAAGCAAATGGCTTGTTGCAGACCAGCCTTCCTGCTGGGAACTAGAAAATCTTGACAAAAATATTTAAAATAAGGTGGGCTCGGTGGCTCAGCCTGTAATCCCAGCACTTTGGGAGGCTGAGGTGAGTGGATTGCCTGAGCCCGCAGGTTCGAGACCCACCTGGGTAACTTGGTGAGACATCTCTAAAATAAATCTAAAAAAAAGTCAGCCGGGCGTGGTAGCGTGCACCTGTAGTTCCAGTTACTTGGAAGGCTGAGGCGGAAGGATCACCGGAGCCCAGCAGGTCGAAGCTGCGGTGGCCAGGAGCGGCCACTGCACTCCAGTCTGGGTGACAGAGTGAGACTCCAACTCAAAAAATATATATATTTACAATATCTATCTGAAATCATCAGAGATCTACTAAGGAAGCAAGAACTTGAGGAGCCAACATCCTACAGAGAAAAAGTACATAGAGGTAAGCCAGAGACATTCAGATCTACTGTGACAGCTGAGAAGCTGGAAAATTGAGACTTCCAGCAGTCTCCATGAGGCTGAGAGAACAAAAACTAGAATTCAGAGTCTACTAAGGAGCAGAGGGGGTCCAAATAAACAAACGTCTCATGCTTTGAGTTGGACTCCTTAAATTTAATAACCTAGTATAGAGGTAAACTGGAAATAAAATACTACAGCCCTCACAAAGTTCAGCTTTGAATCAGCCTAATTTCTGACTAAATTAAGATGATTTGCCAGGCACAGTGGCTCATATCTGTAATCCCAGCACTTTGGGAGACAGAGGCAAAAAGATTGCCTCATCTCTACA